GTGGGACATTTGGTCCATGGCTTAGTTTAGGTGGTTAGATGTGTTTTGGCTCAGCCTTAGGGGTCAACTAGTGGCTAGGCTGGAGTTAATTTGGTTGCTTTAGGGTGGTTAGGTCATATTTAGTGCATGGGTCCAAGTGGGTGCAAATGACCAAGTATTGGGTTTGGTATAAGCTAGACATGTCAATTGACCCAAATAAGTATTGTATTTGGTGTAGATGATCATAAGGAACAACTTTGGTGAAGGATGGAAGTGGTTTTGAGCTCAATTGAAGGGTCAATTTGAGGGAATTTTGAATTTTAGTCAATTTGGTCATGTTGGGCTAGGCTTGGGTCTAGCTTGGGTTAGCTTTGGGCTAAGTGCAAATTGATTGTTGTAAATGGTCAATAGGGACCCCATGAAGTTTTCAACATGAATTTGATGCCAATTTGGAGATTAAGGATATCAATTGGGTGAAATTTAGGGACTTAGCCAATTTGGGGCTAAATTTGGGAATTTTGGATTTAAGCCAAAATCAAATGGATTTGAGGCTTCGCCAAAGCCAATTGATGATTGATTTTGATGTATAAGAATGTTATAAAGATTTTTAAACATTAATTGGAGCCAATTGACTAGGATATGGGTTTAATTGGGTGATATTAGGTCATATGGTCAAAATTGGGATTTTGACTTAAATCAAAATTGGGCTCAAATCATGGCCAATTAAGCTTTTATTTGGTTTATTTTGGCCATATCAAAAGTTAATTTGAGTTTAGGATTGGAATTGTGGTCAATTGAGATCAAATTGATGGACATTTGAGTTGAATTTGGGGAAATTTGGGCATTTAAAGTGCAATTTGGGGGTTTTTGATCAAAGATAGTCAAATTGGCCAAATTGAGTTATGTAGTAGTTGAAGAAAATGAAATTGGGAATATTTGGGATTTATTGAGATTTTCTGGGAATTTTTGGAATTTTGGGCTATGGAGGGGTATTTTGGTAATTTGGCCAATTTTGGAGATTTTGGGTAATTTGGGTATTTTAAAAAAGATTTAAAATGACTTTTGAACAAGTTTGGGTATTTTGGATGGATTTGAGGATTTTGACCAATTTTGGAATTTGGGGGTGTTTAGGTAATTTGGGTAGGTTTGGGGGTCGAAAGGCCAAGTTGTATATTTTTGGTAGAATTGGGGTGCTAACCACACTATATGAGCTATGGACCAATGGAAACCCCATTTGGGTTCTCTGTGTATTGGTCTTAGCTAAACCCCAGCTCAGGACTAGTGGGTTTAGGGGACTATCTACATGAGTCTCCCAACAGATCAATGGATGAAAGTTAACAAGTTTTAGGTTTAGGATTGTGAGTGATTGTGGGTGAGAGTGAGTTCAAGTGAGTGCCTTTGCCCTAGAACAACACCACAAGGGTCAACCCTAAGGTCCAACAGTCCTAAGGGTGACTCATCTTGAGTTCCCCCATAATGACCCCACCTACTAAGTGCTAGAGGTTATGACCAATATGCAGAACTTCAAGTTGAGTAAAGAGGAGTGTAGAATTTCTAATGGTGAGGGTTCCATGTCTAGTTTTCTAAGAATAGTCAATAGGAAATTCCTATGGCTAGACCTTAGGCTACTAAAGAGGAAAAACTAAACCTCAATCAAAAGTGAGGTCAACACCATTTTAAACAACATAAAATACATCTTAAAAGATCTTAAAACTTAAACTTGAACCTTAAAATGCAATTTCATTTGAGAAGATCTTTTGGAGAAGGTAACCCATGGTTGCTAACAAAATATCTTCCAATCACTCGTTACTAATCAAACCACAAACTTTAATGGTCCGGGACGACGAAATCATGAGATTTTGATCGGGACATCCCAAACAAAAATAAAACCACATGACAAAATTAATCCGCTAATAAATCATAAGCAACCAAAAATTTTCAACCCCTAAAATCTGAAAAGGACATTAAAACTTAAATGAAATCTTAATGAACAAAGAACAACGAATGAAACTTTAACCAAACCCATCTTGGTTTACGAAGATCTCTTGGACGACACAATCTGTGGTTGCTGACAAGAATTTTTCAGTCATAGTAGGTTGACTACCTCTCAGGCTAAGTAAATCGGGGTACTCCAATGACCCCAAGATGACAAACCCATAGATATCTTACAGGCGTCCAAAAATTTAAAAATCAACAAACAAAATAAATAAAACAAAATTATTTTTTCTGCTAACTTTGTATTGCAAGGCTACCAAAGAAAAGGTGAACATTATAACAAACTTTATTCTGGATTTTATTTATATGTTATAGGATGTGCTAACTTTGTTTTATAGAACGATCATTCTGACCACTCAAGACACAGATTAAGGGATGAACCTTAACTAAACAAAACTCTAGGATAGTTTGATATCAACTACTAATTGGATAGGATTTTTGACTTTCCTTTCTTTGACATTATCTTTGAATTCTCTGAGAATAAATTTAAATCTTAATCAGAAGTTTTCTTAAATAATAATGAATTATTAAAATATAATTAACTTTAGGGACTTATCCCTATAGAAAGATGTGAACCCCATAATAAGTACATAAACTAAAATCTATGATGCTTTCATAACTATTCTTTAGTAACAAAAAAATTTTTATAAAAGCCCCTAAGACATTTATTTGTTTTCGTTATTACTTGCCTTATTTCCCCTTATTTCTTCTCTCTTATATCCATCAAAATGGTATGATTTGGAAGAACTCACGAAGACAAGTAGCAAAATGATAAATAATTGATGACTCCCCAACACAGACATCAACCAACGACAACATCGAAGAATTGGCAACGACGACGACATTCTGGCGGCAATAGATTAGCAACAATCTCAGAGTAATCAACATTTATAATATTGCAGGGCACAACAAAAAATAAGATGCATTTTTCATCACATTTTCTAAAAATACCACCATTTCCTATAAAGGTTCCATTTTAACTCCCTTCAAAATTCAACTTGATAACTATCTGGTGTTTTCTATTATTCCTTTCAATCCAGATAAACGAATATCAAAGGTAAGACACTCAGTAAAATAATTTCTTAGTGAAAAAATTGGACTGTCAACTGTGCAGCATATTGTCACGGACAAATAGTCCCACATTGGCTAGGTGTAGGGCCGAAAAGCAGTATTTAAGTCCTGGGCTGCCCACCACCCTCAAGGGCTCTTTTGGGAGGTGACAAGTGGTATCAGAGCAGATTACTGCCTGCCAGGTGTGTGGACTCTCCATGGTCCAGTGGGACCCTCGGTGGAGCCGATCCGTGACGAGGGCGTCACGTGATTGGGTGGAGGAGAATGTCACGGACAAATAGTCCCACATTGGCTAGGTGTAGGGCCGAAAAGCAATATTTAAGTCATGGGCTGCCCACCACCCACAAGGGCTCTTTTGGGAGGTGACAATATGCTCCAAAGGTAATGAACAACTAACATGTTATTTAACATTATACTTCTAAGAAACTCTATCCCATATTTTAGCAGTGTAAGTGCAAAAAATAAAAAATATTGCAAAGATTCTCAGCTTGTTTACACAAAAAAAAGAAGGGAGCTCTTACTGCCTTTAAATTTCAAAATGTCATCAACATACAATAGTTTTTGCAATAATTTTCAAGTGAAAAAAGATTTATATGGTTTTAAAATAGAGTTCCAAAGCTTCGTGTCATTGTAGTTCTAAACATAATGTAACTTTTAAGAGATAAGTTGAAAGAGTGAGGAAATTGCCATATGCTGAGCCCTGTTCCTTTAAGTTCCATGTACCATTCTGTCAAACACCAACAACTTATTAATCCTTATTTACATTACCTTCAAGTTGATATAACCTCTAAATGATAATAAGAAGCAACTTGTTAATCCATGTTATGAATTTGGTCTATGGTTATGACTTCCTGATTTTTTGCAACATGGGAAAGAAGAATATTAAGCAAATATGTAAAATTTTGACAAATTTTAAAGCTGTTTCAGATATCTAGTTTAGAAAGTCCAAATGTGAGGGATATGTGGGCAAACATATCAAGGTAGAATATAAATAATGGCTGCAGGATTACACTGACAGCAAGATTAACGACCTCATTATGAAATATTTGGACATAGATTTACATTAATGGCTGCAGGATTACACTGACAGCAAGATTAACAACCTCATTATGAAATATTTGGACATCGATTTACGTAAGACCAAAAAAAAAAAAAATTGTGAAACCGTTGTCCGTCGGAACGTCCGCCGGGGCCCGGTCCTTCGTTTGGGAGGTTGAATTTCGGGAAAGCCTTCTTCTCGAGGGAAATGAGAATAGAGCCCCTCTAACGGCAACTCCAGCGATTCTTCTCGGCTTACCGAACAGTTTCATTTTTCCCTCATGTCGATCCGTCTTAACCCTCAAATCTCCTAAAAAGCGCTCTCGCTGTCGTCAATGACGGTCCTCCTCTCTTTTCCCTTCGTCTATCTGACACTCAATTTAGCACATATCTCTTGCTTTCTCATATTCCGCCGTCTTATCTGTTTTCGCTTGCAGGGAGGGGAAAGTCTTCTTGCTCATCTGCAACAAACCCTAAATTCCGATCCTGAGAACCCTTCCAACCACTTCAATCTTGTATGTTTGATTTATCCGCAACACCATTCCCCTTCCAGCTCCTTAACGCCACTGATCCCCTTTCATGTTTGTTCCAGGGCATCTACTTGTGGAAAAAGGGTGACGAGGTCAGCGGGGACGAGTCCAAGGGTTTCAAATCTAGGGCCGCAGAGCATTTTCTGGCTTCTGCGAGACTAAATCCCGGCGACAATGCCGCTTTTCGGTTGCTAGGACATTATTACAGCACAGTCGTTCTAGATATTCAGAGGGCGTCCAAATGTTACCAAAGGGCGCTTTCCCTCAGCCCAGATGACTTCGAGGCTGGTGTGAGTTGCTGCTTTTATGCCAAGCCAAATGCTTCGCATTATTTCAGGGTTCCATTCAGTATTTAATTGACGGCATAGTAACTTTCTTGTGCAGGATGCATTCTGTAATTTATTGGATGTAGATGGGAAGGAGAGCCTTGAGATTGCCGTATGCAAGGAGGCATCAGAGAAGTCTCCAAGAGCGTTTTGGGCGCTTAGGAGGCTAGGATACTTGCAGGTTTTATATGCTGCTCGTCAATTATTTCTGTCTGGTATTAGGCTGGGAGTGTTATGTTTTGCTTTCATAATTGCTTCCTTTCTATTAGAAGGTTTAGGATAGAAACGATGTTATTCCCCAGTGATTCATTTACATGGATGTTGTAATGAAAACATTTCAGATCCACCTTAATAAATGGGAGGAGGCAGTGCAGAACCTGCAGCATGCAATCCGAGGATATCCAGCATGTGCTGATCTGTGGGAGGTTTTGTTGGGCTATTTTTTGTGCAGCACTTTTGTTGGTAGCTTGCAAGCTTATCCATTATTACTGTTTTTTATGTGTTCCAGGCACTGGGTCTTGCATACCATCGGTTGGGCAGGCTCACTGCAGCAATAAAAGTATTTTCCTTTCCTCCTAATGAGGAACTTACTTGTTTAATTCAATTTATAGTCTTGTTTAGCATTATTGAGCTTTTGAACAATGCTGTGCCCACGGTTACGTGGCATGGTCTATATTGCTGACACATCTCATGCATGATGTTATGGCAAGGTGTGGTAATGGTTGTTTGCGCTTTGCTTTAAAAAATTTGTCACATTACAATTTTGATTTGTGTGGAGATGGTATGATGTAAAACACGATGTTTCTTGTGCAACCACTCCATGGCTGTTTGATCATGGAAAACATAAGTAGCGTTAATTTTATTTTATGTAGCATAGCTAAAAGATAACATAACGTCATCAAATGTAGCTATAATCAAGATAATTAAACAAATGAAGTCACAAAAATATCTTTGAATGCAAATTGCTTTCTCTTTTCGTGTGAGAAATGCATTCAAATAATCTATTCAGTTAAAGTTTGTAATTGTCAAATGACTAATTTGTAGTGCATATGTGCTTATTGATTTGAGTATTCAGTTTAACCAATAAACATTGAAACTTCAACAGTGCCTTGGTGAGATTGTCTTTAGCACTTCCTTTCGATGAATGAAGAACATGGATGCTATAATATATTTT